TGCTGAAGTCGAGCTATTACTAAAAATAGCCAAGTGAGAAAAGGGGCCGTGAAGGTCAGATTAAATCGAGCTGTTGCATCATTGAGTATATTGAACGCTCCTGCGTTGCAATTGTCCCAATGGATGTGATTTTCCAATATTATTATGCGTTCAAACTTTTAAGGTATTTCGTCTGAAATAAGTATATGTATATTGCTTTTCTGTAGAACAATGATTCGCACCCATTTTCAAATTGCCACCTACTATACTGTAAAGCTTCTAGGACATTCACTATAGAACCGAGTTGCCGCCAGGGAGTGAAGAGGAAAAAATTTATTTCGCTTTGCGAATAACCGTGCTATGAAATGCCACACAACTGGAGAATTTCAAGAACGGATATTACACTTTCCTTAGGTTGTTTAAAACGGCAAATGACCACGAAAACTTAATCTTAGCAGACAAATGTGCCAATCAAAATCGTAAACGTGAATTGTTGGTGAAAATGTTGGACCAAAAAGTTTCAATAAAATATATAAAAATTTTGGGGGGGGGACGAAGTTCGCCGGGTCTGCTAGTATAAATATATGTATGTATGTTTTTCAATTTAACAATTCCGCAAAATGTTTTTGTGTTTGCCTTCATATTTCAAGGTTAGAGTGTCATTATATCCTAAAATATTTCATACATGTATGTATGTACATTAAGGTGCCTCACCAAAAATATTTACCGGATTCTACAATTTAGGTTATTTTAAGATTTCTGGACCAATTTGAAAATACCTCTAAAGTCTCATGGCCTTATTCATAGAAAATAAAAGTGGTTTAAATAATTCTATAAAGTGACATTTTCGTACAAATATTGGATTTATAAAGCAGTTAAAGTCTTTTTTATATTTTATGAATTTGGTTGTCAGTATTTTGATTCCGTTGATAAAATTTAAGAAAATTTGCTTGCAGACCTTTTCAGACTAAAACTCTTTTATCATATGAGGTGATTTTTAGAATATTTTTAAAAAATAATTTCATTTAAAAAATCTCGATTTTGGTGTTTACAAATTAGTCCCGCTCATCTTAACATTATTATGAAATATTTTGGGGGAAGGAATTTTATAATTCCAATGGACACGGAAACAGTACCGATTTTTTATGGAGAGTGTTGCATCCTAATGTATGTACATATGTTTATTCTGTTTG